TGAATTGGCAAAGGTGAAAAAAACTGGCATTTTCCTGTCTGGATGGCACAGTATGAAGGGGTAGGGAGATATTTCTGTGCAGTCACGATTAGTTTTTTGATGTACTAGTGCTAAAACAGGCTTTATTCTTCTGATTCCCTGATTAAGTGATGGTTCTGCTTTATTTTATTTTTAGAGGGAAGGCATTGCATGGTCAGGATTTGGGAAAGTTATGAGCCTTCTATTACCTCTGCCACAGGCTAGGTGTGGAAATAACTTGGGTTTGGCCTCTTCAGCCTTTAAAATGGAGTTGAATCATCTCTTCCATCTCTCAGAGGTGTGCAGTAGCTGCTGCTCTGTGGCCATCTGAGGGCTGCACTCACATGCAGGGTGTGATCACTGTTCTCCTTGTCCTGCAGACTGAGAAGGATATCCTGTTACGTTCCGAGCTCGATGAGATCCAGGCTCAGAATCCCGGCCGCTTCAAGTGTTGGTACACGCTGGACACAGCACCTGAAAGTAAGACCTGGAGTGCCACTTGATGTGAAACTCAGGAGTTTTAATGTGCTTTACAGGACACATGCTGTGTCATGGGTGTCTTTCTGGGCTTCATGATTCACTTCTTGCTTAGTGAATGTCTGAGTGGCATCATTCTCCACGCAGGGATGCACACAGGCTCCGGTGTAAGCAGAGAAGTGTTTCCAAAGCTCACCTCAGGCTAGTGGCAGTGCAGTGTTACTCCCATGGCTACACCTGCGTATTTACTATTGTCTCCTGTGGAGGGTGACCTTCTTTTCTCCTTCCCCACAGACCTAAATACAACATTATATCCTGTGTTTGGAGCCTGCCCTGAGGCAGCTGCAGTGCCAGAGGCACTTTGTAGTTCATGGGCACAGATCCCTGCCTGAGCTTGCTGAACAAGCTTGAGGAAGAGAAGGCTAAACAGTATAATTCCTTGTGGTTTTCCTTTCTTCCCATTATTTGTCATGCCCACCCATGTGAGGATAGATTCACACTCGTATTCAGCAGGAGTTTGGGGCAGAGAAGGAAAAGCCATGTGCCTTCTCTTCCTTGTGACCAAAATACACCTCTGCTACATTGAGGGAAGACTCTATTTCTGTTGTGTCATCCACTGCAATTAGTGTTTTCCTGGAATTTCTCATTGCCATTCCTTCTTTGGGGAAGTAATGCACTGATCTTAGCAGTTGGGATAAAAGTTGCTCCTTGGACCTCCTCAAGACTGTTCTGCAGGCTTTCGCTGTCATATGTGAAAACTTACTAAAACTAGGATAAAAAGATTTTTCAGTCTTATGGTGCCCAATAGTTTGGATCAGCAGCAGCACAAGTTTGTTCTGCATCCATGGCTGGGGATGTGATGATTAACCTGAATCCCAGTAAAACTGACTGTCACTGTAAGTGTTCCAACTGGGAACAACCTCATCAGCAGGATTTCTCCTTTCTAAAGTGACTTGTATCTCTCTTTTCCTCCTTTTTACCTCATTCCCCTTCTCCTACTTTCATTTTCTTGTAACAGATTGGGAATACAGCCAAGGATTTGTGAACCAAGAGATGATCCGAGACCACCTGCCCCCACCTCAGAGCGATGTTCTGATCCTCATGTGTGGACCTCCTCCAATGATCCAGTATGCTTGCATTCCCAACCTGGACAAACTGGGCTATGCCAAGGACATGAGGTTCTCCTTCTAAACATGAGTTATTCAGGGATCTTGTATAGAAGGGAAGAAAGAAAAAAAAGTTAGATGGGGAACAGGACAAAGTTACAGAGGTGGCTGATGCACAGTGCTGGGAAAATACATTTACATTAAAAATGCTTCACATTTTCAGACTCTCTAGCAAGTAAGACACATAACTGTGCTAAACCTGTGTGTGGAGAGGTGGTGATGCCTCGTGCTCTGTGTTTTGTGCTCCATGTCCAGGGAGGACAGTGCAGCTGCTCAGGGCAGCACACACTCACTTATGCTTTTTCTTAGTGCTGTAATCAAGTGGCAGTAATATCCTACTTCCTACCACTGTGCATACCCAGGATCTTATTCAATATGAACTATGAAAACAATGACAAGTGTTGGATTACTCACCTTGCTTATGCCAAATTGTAATCCTTACAGAGCTCTGAGGGCCAGGAGTGTTTGCCTTGTGTCCATAACCTTTGCAATATCAGTTTAAAGATGCTTGTTGAGTTGAAGGGTGCCAATGAACCATTTATGGCTGAAGGTGTTGCAGCTGCCTAATCAAAGCAAAGAGGTAGGCAGTGATAAAAAATTGGTTTCCTTAGTATTTTGGAATAGCCTCTTTTAAGTGCAAACACTTTACATCTGGTCACGGTTCTCATCCCTGGGCAATGAAGGAAACTACAGAAGGTGGCTTTGGGTACTGTTTCACAAGTACCTTGGATTTTTTGCTTGATAATGTGTGGGATACTGAAAAAAAATCTTAATTTTATATTTACTCCTAAGCACTGGGAGATGGCATCAGAATACAAAAGCAGTTCTTCTGCATGCCCTGTGCAGTGGAAGAAAATGCTGGGTGAAAACTGGATGGGATTTTCTTGGTAACTGTTTCCCAGAGGTGGATTTGGGCTGAAAGGAGCACAGGTTTCCTTGCCAGGGGGTTTTGGCAGGCAGCCCTGCACGGGTGCAGTAGCACCCGATCACTCCGTGTCTCGATCGGGCAAAGCTCCCCAGGGTTTGCTTGGGAAGGATGCACGGGGACAGCCTTAAATCACCAAACTGACAGCAAGTTCAAGTGTCTCAGTAAGTCTAAAACTGTTTCCTAGAAGCTGTTTACTACAGCTTCAATTCTTATTTTTTTAATATCCTTTTTTTTACAGTAGCCTTTTACCTAATTTTTAGAGCACTGCAGGCCTCTTGTGTGCCCAACCTTCTGCTTCTGACCAGCAGGGATGCTGCTGAGGTGAGAGGTATCCTGCAAGGGTCTAGGAAACTAAAATCCTTGTTCTGGTGATGACATCAGAGTGACTGGAAGGATATTTAGTCATGTATGAAGTACTGTGGGTGCTGAGGTAGCTACAGGTGTCAATGTACAATAGCAATTTTTAAGGCTTGGGTAGGGATTTGGGGTTATAGCTCACTGTGTTTTCTTTTGTGCCCCTACAGCAGGTGGGTACTGTGTATTTAAAAGGTTCATTTTTCAGCAAGAATTAAAAAGCAAAGATACTAGAGTTAATTTAAGGAACCTCAACTAGACCTCAACTAGATAATGCTGTTATTAATTTCATTAATTTGACATTTGCCTCAAGTCTTGAATTTTTGATGTGTGCTTTTGAAACTTGTTATTTAATACTATGCTCCAAAGTTGAAATACTAGTCAATTTTTCAAGTTTTAGTCCCTTTCTTGGAAGGCAAAAAGCAGAAATACGAGAGAAGTGGTGTTGCTGCTGGTCTGTATCACTGTGGGATATGCAAAGATTTTTTTTTCTTTATTGTATTTGCCAAGGTCATTCTCATCCTTTTATATCCTGAATAAAGTTTTGAAAAGCTGAGTTTCATGAGAACTGGTTCATATTTTGATTATTCTTAACCTGGAGTTTCCCTTGGCACCGAAATCAGTGGGTAAATCTAACATGTCCTTGAAGGGCCATAAGATCCAAGATATCCAATCCCCAGTTCCCTCAGGATTGGTTAATTTAAAATTTTCAGGTTTAATTTACCAAACTTAAGGTTTGGCGTTTTCATGATCAAAACAACAAGAAATCTGTGAAACTTAACTAAAGCTGGCTAAAAGTGGTCCCTGCTGATGACTAATTGATACAACTCATTAAAAAGGAGGTAGGACAAAGTAATTCCTGGTTTTCCAACACTAAAAATGCAGTACCATAGGGTTCTCTTATCCCAAGGGTTTGGGGGATATTTGGCAAAAAATTATGGTGGCCCAGGTTGGACTAAGCTTTTAACACTCCTTGGAGTCACAGGATTGGGCATTCCAGTGTGCACTGCACAGGTTTTTGCAGGGAACTCTCATGATCCCAGATCCATGGGAGCTCAAAGCAAAAACCCCTGGGAGCTGAAGGCAAGAGAATGTTTCTTGGGTATTTTGAAGTATTTGGTGTGTCCTAAAGGTTAGGTTTGAATTAATGCAAATTTCCCAGGATTGTGTGTTTGGAGTTGCTGCTTTAGGGGTGGCAAAGTCTGGATTTGGATTTGTTGGCACTGAGTGCTCCTTGTCAGCTTTAGGTCTGGATTGCTGGGAATTGTTGGAGGAAAGGGAAGGGAATTGAAATGCACAGATCCATTCCTGGAGAAATGATCAGGATGGGAGAAAAGAGGTTGTGGGACTGCTGGGAGCTCCTGGAGAGAGGGAAAGGATCCAAGGATTGGAAGCAAAAGCCATGGAACAAAGCCTGAAAAGGGGCAGGGGAAAGAGGGAAAGAATCCCTGCTCCAGGAATCCAGTAGGGGCCAGGAGAGGATCATTTTCCACCCACCAGCTCTTGGTGAAATCCTGATAATGAATGTCAGAGGAAATTACTTGTTTGCTGTTAGGTTTGGAATTAAAGGTGCTGTTTCAGAGGGGAATATTCGCCTGTTAAAATTCTGTTGGATAAAGGCAAACAGGGAGGAAGCAGCTGGGGAATGCACAGGTGGATTTTTGGTGGATTCAGGGGAAGATGTGGCAAGGGATTCTTAGGTAAAATGCACCTCACAGGTACCACCAGGAAAAGCCCCAACTGCCCTTCTTTCCAAGCCCTGACATTCCAGAGGGGTAACCAGTGGTTAGCACACCCATTTCTATATTCTGTGGATGCTTTGTTGGGAAGAGAAAATATTTGGAAATTAACAAATCCAAATCAAGGATGTAATTCCTGCTTAGTAAAGCTCTGGAGGCCCAGGTTTTTATATTCTTCCAGCAACCAAACCCAACAGAGGGAATCCTGGAGGAGGTGGAAAGCACTGTCACTCTGTTGGTGGAATTCCTGGGAAATGGAAAGCAGCAGAAGCAGGAAGAGCAGAGCTGGAACCAGACTGCAGCTGGGTAAGGCAGACACCAAATCCTTTGGAATTAGAACTGGGCACAGGTGAAAAGAATTAACTGCTACATTTGTACCCAATGGTGGGATACTCCATGAGATGGTCCAGGCTGGGGACTGTTCCCAGATGAGAGCCTTGGAATTGTCTGAAGGGAAGGAGGAGGGATCCTGTCAGCACAAGGATCAACTGACAGACATGTAAATGTTACCAGAAAATTACTCAGGAGTGTTTAGTTCCCAAGCGAGGTCAATCCAAGGCTTGGAAATCTGCCTGCTAAAGCTGGCTAAAACTGGTCCCTGCTGCTGACTTATTAAAACAACTGATTAAAAAGGAGGTAGGATTGATTCAATACTCACAAACCCATCTTGCCAAGATCAGAGTTCTGTGCCCACCAAGGGAGCTGCAGCCACTCAGGGAACACCAGGGAACTTTAGTCCTGGGCTGGGAACAAGAGAGGGACAAAGAATTTTTTTAAGTAATTCCAACCTCAGCGGTGTCCAGACCTGGGAGAAAGCACTTCCCACACCACTCTTGGAATTTTCTTCCCTGTCCCTTCCAGCTTTGGAAGGTTTCTGTGGGAGCCTGACTTACTTCAGAAACTGCACCATCCCTAAAGCATTCCCTTGGGAAAATGAAGCTTCCCTTGTGCACTTCATTTCTTTATCCCAAATATTTTCCCTAATTATCCACAATGTAGAAAGAAAAAAATCCCCTACTTTTTCACCACTGATTCCCTCCTTTTTACTTAAAAGTATTTATGGAGCTTTTCTCAAGATTTACCCCCACAACTTTCCCTACATGCCCACTACTCATCACCTCATCTTTCCCTGGAAATGTTCATTGTCTACTCTTGGAGTCAGGTTTTGCCTCCAAATTTTTCCCTACCTGTCCACTACAGAGTTCCTCATTTTTCTCCCAAAATATTCGTTCTGTCCCCTACAGATACATGCACAGCTCCATTCTCCTGGGTCTTGTCACTAGTCAGCAGAGAGGAAAGATCAGCGTCTGCCCCCCTCTTCCCTTGTGCTTTATATACATTTGATTTGCCAGGTCTTCAAGAATTTCAAGAATACTTTTTTTTTAAATCTGAAAATGCAGTTCCAGTATCAGATGCTGTTTTCAGTATCATTGAAGAGATGATAAACCCCTCATGAAACACAAAGCCAGGTGAGGTCAGTGTTGTTTCAGCAAGCTACAGTCAGCTTCTAAAGCTTTGCTCTGGACAGCTCTGGGCTGCCCACACTTCATTCTCCATGGAATTTGTGTTCCAGCCCCTCTGGTGGTCAGGATGCCCATTCTGCTGGGGGCAGCAATGCACACAGGCTGACTCCTAGGAAAATTGTTGCAGGAAGAGCTGCTTCTCCTCTTTTGGGCTCTGCTAGTTTCATTTGCAGATTTCTGTTGGATTCGTGGATTGCTGCTTGTGGAGCTGGAGGAGCCAGCAAAGAGTTGTTTCTTATCTTCTGTCTCTCTGTTACTCATGACCACTTAGGTCTTTGTGACAGTGCTCCTTTATGAACCCCCAGCTTTAGAACTTTTTAAATCACAGCAGTTTTCAGGGCTGCCTTGTTTGTGGTTTATTTCAGTAATTTACTGCCTGCTCCTAGATTTTCTTTAAAAAACCCCAAAACAGTGTCTTTAGTCTCCTGTGGTAATTTTTATATATTTTGTATCCAAGTTCTGTTGAAGTTTCCAGTATAAAGACACGTGTTGTGTATGTCAGAGATCAAAGGTCATTATTGCAGGATTCTTACAGTTGCTTTGGTAAATAGCCATGGGAAACACTCCCGTGTTGTGGGAGCTTGCAGATAAACAGAAAGATTAAATAGAATGAAACTCGAGATCCAGCTGGAAGAAACATTAATTTTTCACCAAAAAACAAGTGGGGGAGGGGGGTAGGTGGCAGAAAGTCAGGACAACTACTTATATAAATAATCTAAAAGACAATTCTACCACATGCTGCAAGCAAGATACTTGTATGAGTGTGTGGCATGCTGCTCCCTCAGCTCCTTTGGGATAAAGCAAAAGGGGATGGATTGTTTGCTCTTCTCTCTCCATCTTTGCTGCATTTAAACCAAGTATTTACTCATTCTGGTAAACTTTCTCATCATGGGCACTTTTCTGGTGTTCCGGATTTGGTGGTAAGGGTTGGTAACTTTTTAAATGGTGAAAAAAATCCTGACAGCAGCTGGAGGGAAAGATATTTCCAAGGGGATTATTTTCCCACTTAGTCTGTTACACAACTGCTGTGACTGCCCCATCCCTGGCAGTGTCCAAGGCCAGGCTGGATGGGGCTCAGAGCAGCCTGGGGTAGTAGAAGGTGTCCCTGCCAATGGCAGTGGGGTGGAACTGGATGGGCTTTAAGATCCTGTCCAACTCAAGCCATTCTGTGATTCTCATTGGAGTGTCTTTAAAAATTCAGAGTTCAGGCATTTCAGTCTCATGGCAGGATGCTTTTCATAGGACAGAACTCCTAACCTGTTCCAGTAGACCCAAACCAGTCCATCAAATGTCTCTGGATGTGGCACTTACTCACATGGTGGACTTGGCAGAGTTAGGTTTACAGTTGGACTGAACAATCTTGAAGGTCTTTTCTAACCTAAATGATTCTGTAATTCTAAGAATAAGTTACAGATATGGGTGTGGGATGGCCAGATTGTCTTTTTCCCCCAAGTGATCAGGCCTTCATAGGTAATTTCATTTGGTCACTGATTGACAAAGAATTTCATGGGACAGTCATCTGTAATTCTCTGAAATGCCCAGTTTAATCTTGTGTACAGCAATGAATGACTGCACTTCCTTGTCATTAAAATCCCTGGGAAATATGTCCCAACCCTTTAAATTCAAATGGAGGATTAGCTTTTGTTTCTTCTGAAAGCTGGGTTTCACTGAGAATGCACACCAGAATTTACAAGATTTTTAGTATGTCCCAAGTGACCTTTCACATTGTAATTGATTTATACTAACAAAAACTGAGTGCAAATTTGACCCCACTGCACTTGGAAAGTCTTTGCCTTCAGTGTGGCCAAGATCAGTATAAAGAATAATTGGAAGGTAGCTGTTAAAACTCAAGTTCAAGGTAGAAAAATGGGCTACGTATAAATCCTCTCAGCAGACAAGCTGTATTTTTTCCCTTGTTCTTCCTCTGTAGTTATCATTGCACAGATTTGTGGGCATTTAGACATATAAATCAATTTATATTTATAATATATATTTAATTCACACAGGCTGCAGATGAGATCATTGTAACAGAACTTGCTTTGTCACTTGTAGGCACAGTAATGCATCTCTTAATAATCTAAACTTTCTAAATGTTAAGCTTCTTAGGAACTGAGAGCTTAAAGTCATGTACAGCTTTTAATAATGAAGGAGCCAAAGAAAAAAAAAACCACAGCAATGCTCATATGCTGCACTCAAGGTCAGTGCCACAGGTAATGGCTCAGGGAACAAGTCAGATTCAAAGCCAGCATTTGGACAAGAAGTTTGTGTCAAAACAATTACATTGGTTCACATTTCACACGGTTTATTTCATAGAGCTGGAAATGGTATAATCAATATTTTTTTATAAACAAGTGCTTAAAAATTACCTACTGTGAATGGAAGGATTTTGTTTATTTTTTAAATGATGGAGCATTTTCTTGCAGCAAGATCCCTGCTTTCCTGATGCCACTAATGATGTGATAATGCCATGCAGCACTGTCTTGAGAAAGCCCAGGGCTGGTTCAAACCAGGCTTTTTATGTCTGGCCCAGTACAGCACCATCAGCACACCAGTGAATCTCAGGAATAATCCAATTACAGGAGCAAAGCCCACCAGACCAACCTAACTGGCTTCTCTCCCACCACCTACCTCCAGATCCAGCTTGGGATTCTCCACACAGCACTCTCAGGATGGTGTCAACATTGCCTAGACGCATAATCTGGCAAGTGTTTTAATGTAAGTAGCTTTTATTCTGGACTGGCTCTGTTTAGAGTTATCCTTATGTTTAAATAAATATTTACACTTGGAGTGTACATGGTAAAATTAAACTCCACAATTAAATTGCTGCATTAGTTGGTGGTTAAGTGGAAACTCGTGGCAGGACAGTAATTCTGCACTGAAAGCAAGAAAAGAGACAAAGTAAGAAAAAAGGTGGAGCCACAGGCAAAAAAAAAAGATCACTTTTTAGCAAATGTTTACAGCATCTTAACTATATTGAGATATTAGTAAAATTATAGAAAACTTAAATATAAGTAATTTATTAAAACTTAAATAGAAGTCATCTGCACCTCAACTTCAAACCTACTTTGATTTTTAACGCAACAATTTTAGCTGAAATATTTCTCCAAGAAATACACAGGATCATTAACATTAGGAAAATATTAGTAACATTTCCTTAAGAATGTATAAACACTAACGAATTGCTGAGTTCTTTCTGCATCATAGACATCATTTGGGAGTTCAAGGGCCTTTTGCTGAAATTCCAGGACATATATTAATGGTGAGCTGAGCAGAGCTTCTCCTATGGAAATAGGAAACTTGGCTGCAGAGCAAAGCCAGGATAAACATGTGGATTCAGCCATCGTTTAGCTTAAGCAAAGCCACACAAAAATAGCTGCAAACTTTACTGAGCAGATGTGCCTCCCCTTCTGTCAACTTGGGATACTGCTTCCAGATTTTTAACTTTGCCTATTGGTTCTCATTGTTACAGCCATTCTTGTCCTTGCTGGGCATTATTAGCGATGAATTTACTTTCCCAAAGCCCACAGACTGAAACAAAAACATCTTCTAGTCTTGCCTGTTGGAAGTGTCACCCTGTGGAGGAATAAGGGAAAGGTTCCTGGGGCTAGAAGAGACTGAGGAAGGCAGCACACTCCTGGCACAAGAAGGAATGAGGCACTCCACAGAATAGAAACTGATCACTGATGATGGCTTTTTCCAAACTGATGGCATCTCTATGTACATGTGAATTGTGAGGAAAATTCAGATTAACAGTGGGTTGGGATTTGAGTTGCCCAGCTGGGATTGCTCAAGCCTTTCTGTGGGAAAGGATTAGTTTAGTACTCTCCCTTGGCTTGTGTTTTCAGTGTTTAATGGAGTGGGGTGCTGCCTCTGGCCACAATTCCATGAGAATTGAGGGTCTGACCCTCTCACTCTTGAGAAATATATCTGCTCTCCAACCACTTGCAGAGACAAACTCAACAAGACTGACACTTTAGTGTCTGAGTGTGGTCCTGCTCCCAGCCTTACTGAGTGGTGTAGCAGTGGTAACTCAGTGTCTTACCTCATCTGCCTTCTGAAATGAGGATTCCAATGGGTTTCTACTCAGTCTTTATAATGAGAAACCTGGACTTAATCTGCAAAATCTCATTAACTGGGCTGATTTGTCAGTGCTGGGGCAGAATGACATCATTTAAGTGAGTGTAATGCTGAGAATAGGAATTAGGCCATCAAATCTGAAACTCTGCTAAGATAGCATGGGTGTCACTGCTGTTTGGAGCTCACCAAATCCTGGTGATGTGGGGTTTGCCTAGAGTTTGAGGAAAGGAGGTCTTTACTTCTTAATCTGCTACTAATGCTGAAATAATAAATAATAAATAATGTATTAAATATATATGTATTAATATACTATATATTCATATATTAATATATAATATATTAAATAATAATAAGTAATAATGCTGGTTTGGATCCTCACTTATGTAGCAAGTTGGTAGTCAATGGGTGCTGTGCAGAGGAGTAATTTGTAATTTTTGGTTCTGAGACTCTCCAGGTAAAGGGTGATCCCTTCCAGTGGTGCTTCTGAGAGCAGGCAGGAAGGAAAAATGCTCAGTTGACACAAAACAAGGTAGTAAAACTCTTGGGACTGGGATTCCACAGATTTTTTGTTTGAAAACGAGGACCCTGGAGCTAATATCAAGAACCTATTAGCTATTTTCATTGGCATGATAAGGCTGAAACCACCAACCATGCAAAGCTCTATTTCTCATAAAGTGCCATGATTTTGGGTATGGGGCGTGAGTGAACTGTTCTGACTGCAGCAGCTTTGCTTCTTGGCAGTGGCTAGGGAGATAGATGAACTTCAGTGCTTTAACATCAGTGTCTACAACATCATTTGCCTCACCATGGCTACTTGAGAGCTGTTCCTCAGCCTCACAAGGAGCTGGAGCAGGCTCCTTTGGCACACTTTGCATTATTATCATTATTATTATTATTACATGGTTATCCATGTTGGTGCAGATGCTGTTGTAAACCCATGAAAGGAAAGGAAAATAGGAGGGAGCTCTTTCCACTGCTATTTTTATTCTGCCTTGCATCCCACAAACAAGGATACTGAGTTCAGCCATTGTGCATTTTGAACAAGGAGCCTGGTGTTGGGATCTCTGTGTTTAGTCCTTCAGCTTTGCATCCTGGGTGACCTTTGGTCATACATTGTCTCTGTTTCCCACCTGTGAAAACACAGCCTAAAGCACTCCACACTTCAAAGGCCTTTCCTTGAGAAGAATCAGTTCACTGTTACAGTAAGAACAATCATAAGGTGCTCAAAACTGAGGAAAGGCTTCTTCTACCTGGGAAGGCTGCACAGATGGAGAGTTAATAATTGCCAGGTGTAATTACTGTCAAGCTGAGGCTGCCTTTCTGAGCAATGTACAGGGCAGACAGTTAATGCCATAAGGAAATCAGCATCACAGCTTGTGCTGTAGCTCAGGTATGGGATGGAAAGTTCTTGCCAATTTGTTAATGAATCGGTGTACATTAGGATAAAACAATAACGAGAAGTTTCAGAGAACAGTGGAGTGGCTGGACTTCAAGGCCTGGAGAAGTCACTGGTTTCCTGCTGCTGGCTCTCCTTGCCTGACAAGGAATGCTGCTGTAGCCTCACAGTGCTGATTTGGTTGGTAGCTCTTCCTGAAAAGCGAAATAAGCATGATGAACCAAACTTGAGTCTGAGAAGCTGAACTTGCAAGCAGCGACACCATTTTTCAGCTTGAATTAAATTAAAATTTAATCAATAGCCGGGACACAGCTGCTGACTAGAAAACCAGCATATGGAACTGATCTGTGATCATCTGAAGGAAATAAGAACTTCTGCACACACTGGCCCTGCGCTGCTGTTACATCAATTGCTGTTTATATTTAAAACTCATCAGATTGACAGTGAGTCTAAGTTCTTACTGTAACTTGACTTTTGAAGGTTTTTGGAGAAAATGGCATGTGGAGATGAGCTCTGTGCTATCTATAGGATTTCCTGTCTCACAATAGCCCACCCAGCTGTCTCCTCTATACTGAATATTCATCCCCAAGTAATGATGCACTGAAGATGTAATTCTGCAATGCAGCAGAGTGCCAATGGCAGCTGTAGATTTGCTGTCCCTCCATGGTAGTACAGAACACGGAGGCTTCAGTGTCCCACTACAAAGAATTGTGTAGCCAAAGCACCCTTCTTGCAGGTGCACCTGGGTTGTTGCTGGGCTTGTCCTTGTAATTGTTCCCTCGAGTGATTTTAGCATGTTCCCTGTGGTGTGCAAAGTGTAAATTGGTGTAACAAACAATTCAAGCCCCTCTCAGGCTGAGAGAGGCTTGAAATCTCTTGGAGAAGGTTGTATATAGAAATACCTGATTCTGCACCTTTCTCTCAGGGGGATGGAGCTAACTTCTGTTTTGCTCCTGGCCTTGATCACAGAACAGATGGAGCTGGAAGGGATTGCTGGAGATCACCCAGTCCAAGCCCCCTGCTCAAGCAGGTTCACTTGGAGCAGATTGACAGGATCACGTCCAGGTGAGTTTTGAATGTCTCTAGAGAAAGAGATTCCACACCCTCTCTGGGCAGCCTTTTCCAGTGCTCTGTCACCCGCAGAGTAAAAAATTTTTCTTGTTCAAATGGAACTTTCTGTGTTCCAGTTTGTGCCCATTGCCCTTTGTCTTCTCACTGGGCACCACTGAAAAGAGTCTGTTCCCCTCTTCTTGACACACACCCTTAAAATATTTGGACATATTAGTAATAGCCTGACTCATTTGTCTCTTCTCCATTCTTCCTCATCAGCTATTACTGTCGAGACAGCTACTGTGAGGTGTATCTCAGACTAATGGATTCCTTTAAAAATGCCAGCTTTTATTAAAGGAGATTACTGAAGCCAGGACTTCCAGTGTCCTGTTTACAGCCAGTCACTGAGCTGAGCAGTGCTGCCCCTGAAAGAGTCCTGCAGAACATTTCCACCAGGCAGAGTTCAGATTAGACCAGATGGTGGTCCTGATTACCAGAAAGTAAGTGGGAACAGAAGATTCACCATGGTGTGCGTGGCAGAAGCTGGGAATATGCAAGGAACCCAAATGTCTCAGAGGGAGATCCTCCCTGGTGCTGCACCTGCTCCCCAGCTCGCAGAGCCAGAGAAACCACACAGTGGCATTGTCTTCCTCAGCATCTGGGCTGCTGTTGTCACCATGAGGAACCTCTGGTTCAACTGACAGGTGGGGATGGCCACAGAGACAGGTAAATCCCCAGTGAATGCACCGTTGTACATGCAGGGAAATGTTATTCCAGAGTTTGTCCTAGCTCCAGGTCAGAAAGATCCCCTGCAGATCTGCCCGCTCTGCCGGGTAATGGTTCTCTTTAAATATCATTCTGTGCTAGCTTGACATTTCCCTCTCCTGCCAGCTACAGAGCTGGTCTAGAAAGCTGGAGGGGCTTTTTCTTGTGTAGTGGGAGCATTCAAGCAGAGGCAGATCTGCTGCAGGGCATCAACAAAAAAATCATACCAGCCCTCACCAAACAGAGTGCAGATGGAAATTTCAGCTGTCACAGAGATGTTCCTCACCAAGACAGAGGCACTCTGCTGTCCTGCAGCTGTAGGTTCTTGCCTTCAGAAGCTACTTGTTTAGGTTTCAAAGACAAATACCTAGAACAGGTTACAACAAGGGATGGAGGGGAAAGACAAGTATAATATGACTGGAGGTTGCCTCTTGGCATCTCCTCTTGCTGTGATTTGTTTATGGGTTTTATTCAAAGTTATATTATCTTTGGTGCTCAATCCCCCTTCTTATCCTGCCCTGCTGGAGGAGTTGCTGACCCTGGCCCAGGCCTTGTGAGAGACATCAGGACATGTAAACCAACTTTTCCCACAGTGCTGGAGTCCCTGGAAAGGCTGTGTGTCCATCTGAGGTGCAAAGTGAGCACAACCCCTCCCAGTCTGGAAGTGTGCTATGCTTGTCCCCCTGCTGGCTTCCTCCCAGGCTCCTTCCTCTCATTCTCATCCTCCCCCCAGCAATAGCCTGTGGAGTCTCATTTAGCCATTTCACAATAACACTGTATTGATGCTGCAAGTTCAGATCATGATTTACAGAGATTACTTCCCCCTGTGACACTCCAAAAGCTGCTGGCAGGCCTGCATGGCACTTGTGCCAGCTGCCTTCCCAAGGAAAGCAAATTCCAGGTTCATCAGTCTTGAGAGCTGGGGCAGAGAAGGGGATGTGAGCTCTGAGCAGAGCAAGAGCTCACTTCTGACACCCCCTTCTTGGGAATGCCACGGCTGCCTTTGGGTTGGATGAGACAAATGTTTTGAAATTGCCTAAAATCTGTGTTGGTTGAAGTCACTTGGGGCCCGTGTCAGTCTCCCAGCTCTCCTTTGATGTGTGTCTCCAGCTTGTTAATGCAGGAGCAATCAGCTGCATAATTTTCATGGGAAGCAGGAGGGTAGCTTGCCTTAATGTCTTCCTACGTGCCAAATAGGATGCATCGAATTTAAAGGTGCCCCCACACACTTAATGCAGCTTTGGTAGCTCACCGTGGGGGCCCACACTGCTGCAGCCCATGGGGATTCTGTGGGCTGAGTGACAATGGAGGACAGGAAAGGCCTGTGATTTTTAAGTCCTTTTTCCATCATACTTTATCATAAGAAAAGCAAAATAGTTTGTCCCGTGTTACTGAAACATTCCCATGATCTCCTGTGTTTGCAGGAGAGGAGGAGCTCAGTTTGTCCCCTGCAGGGTCATGCCCATATATCAATGTTTATTTATTAATTATATCTCACTAACCTGGCAGACCATTACAGGCATGCTGTCCACAGAAGAACCCACGCAAAGCTCATCACCCTATATTTTTCATAAAATGGAGCTGATTTAGACAGAGCATTGACAGATGGCAAATCAAAGTGCTTGCTGCTGGTCAGTATCTCTCAAAACGTAATCCTGAAGAGAGGTGCCACTTCCATTCCTTGCTTTTATTCACAGTTCAGCCAGGAACACAAGCTTGTGGTGGGTAATCCCCAATTAGTTTCTTAACTTTCAATTTATTGCTATTTCTGTTTCGGATTATTCAGCTTGTTCAGCTCCAATATCCTTTCTGTACTTGTAGAAAAATCCCTTTTATCAAAAGCTGGTTCACCTCAGCCAATTCTTGTTCCAGATGTTCAGATGGTAATTCCATCAGCTGGGCTGATTTTATATTCTTTAAAACTTTAGTAGCAAATGTTCGTGATTTTCACCTTGAATTTTATCTTATTTTTAAAAATATATATTAAACTTATGTTTTAATAATCAGTGTAAGAATTTCACACTTTATTTTAAATAGGCTTATATTTTAAGTGTGCTATTGAATTATTAATGAATCCAGCTTAAGTGTTTACTTCTGTATATATTACAGTATAGACACATACTTTAAAAGAAGACAAGATTTTTAAAAATCATCCAGTCTAATGCCCTGATTCCCAAACACGAAGGGATACTTTTGTGTTTGAAAAACACTTGTGAGAAGATAATGATTACTTCTGACTTGTTTTATCTTAAATGGGAAAATATCATTCCTCAGATGCCTGAGATGGACTGAAACGTCTTTTAATGTCCCCTGCAGGTGATTTGTGTATAAATTGAAGGCCTTATATCCTAATTTCCTGCCTTTTTTTTTTTTTTTTTTTTTTTTTTTTTTTAATTTTCAGGTGGTTGGTGCACATATATAGCAGTGCTGTATGAAAGTAACACAATAAGTAATCTGAGTAAGGGGAAGTGGAGACTAAATTATTTGGAAATGCTGAAATAGTTCTTTCCAGAACCCAGGATTAGAAAAAATACCCACTGCAATGACTTGGATCACTTACATTTGAAACTTCTCTAAAGAACCTTTGTAAGAGAAAATGATTATTTTAGGAACCAAGGCTGCTTTTCTAGAAGCTGGACACAGCTGTTCCCTGAAATTGAAGCAGCCCTTCTGCTCTCAGAGGCCTTGGTGAAACCTGCTTGGTGCACTCTTACCACTGTCTCTTTAAAGAAGTTCTCAGGAGCTTTTGGCATGAGGACAAAACGGGACAGAACTGCTCATGCAGGATCCCTGTGCATGTGCATTAGCAAATTGGGCATTAATGAGCTGATAGGGCTTGTAAAGTTCATCAGGAGGCATTTAGCCAAGTGACTGCCACAGGTACTGCCATGAGAGCTCCCAGAGGAGGTGTGGCTCCCATCCTCAGCAAGGTCAGACTCATAAATCTCATTTGGGATGCATGTGTGCTTATCTGCCCTTACGTTGTGCTCACCTGCTTTCTGTGCCTTCATTTTTCTGCTGCGTGTGTTTAACCTTTCGTCACTCACAACGTGTCTTGCTTCCAGGCTGTTCTTCTTGTGCCTGTGCAGGAGCTGCAGTGGCAACAGGACACATTAAATGGATGCAGAAGGTACAGCTGAACAAGACAGAGGGACTCTGGCAGAACTCCCGTGCTCTTTGTCCCAGCCTTCACCTCCTCACTTGGTCTCCAGCACCTTCTCCAGGGTAATCCATGGATGAACACATGTACATTCCCATGAAACAGCTTGGTGTTTACGTTGTGATTTTCATATTATTTTGCTTAGCTGCTGTTCTTGGAATATTTGCTTTCATGAAAATCCTAAATATCCATCTCTTCATACCAAATGCATTGCTCTGTTTCTCTCAAAATGTTAAAATCAACGCTTTGTCGGATAGAAGTTAAAATGTTTGACCAGCTTTAAGAAGGACATTGTTGAATAAGTGCAATCTGAAAAAGCAGAAGAAAATCTTCCCTGGGAGGGTGGTGAGGCCCTGGCACAGGTTGCCCGGAGAAGTTGTGGATGCTCCATCCCTGGAAGTGTTCCAGGCCAGGTTGGATGTGGCTCTGAGCAACCTGGGATAGTAAAAGGTGGTGTCCCTGCCCATGGCAGGGGGATGGAACTGGATGGGCTTTAAGGTCCCTACCAACCCAAACCATCCAGATTTTCAATTGTGTAATGTCTCCAGTGAGATATTCAGACACTTTTGCTATGGAAAGAGGCAACTATTTCTCCAATTCACAGGCAGACAACTGAAATTCAGTTCATCCTGCACACCTTCTGGCAGGAATGCTGAAGGGTGATTTTAGATTTTACCCGATTGTTTGTCTCACGGATGGTTCTCAAATAATTTGTTTTAGGTATATAGTGTAAATATTTTCATTTTATAGACTTAGTGAAGTTCTAGTTATTAACTATTCCTATCAGCCACACTCACTCAGACATGACTTACTCCCCACTTGAACAAAATCCCTTTGTTTCTTCTTCTACTTATCCTTAACACAAAAAGACAGGGCTCACAAGTGAAGTGGAGAATAAAGATAATTTTGATGTCTTTTCTAACCTAAAAAATAGGTATCTTCCTTGAATGAAAGCTTTATTCTCCACATCTGTGGAGAAGGGGGGAGAGAGATGGGGGAGATCAAAACCAGTAGTACCTAAATTGATGATCAGCATTTGCCTTAGCGCTCTCAAGCATTTCTTTGTGCTCCCTTGGAGCTGTCTTTTCCATGTTAGTCTCTTCTTTCAGGACAAAAGAATCCCTGTTTTCTGGCTGTCTGTCACTTTGCTTGGAGCATGGCAAACACCGTGCTGACTGATACAGTGAGACAGCTCAGTGACTACTCCACTCAGCCCCTAAGACTTTCCTTATCACTTCTTGTCTCTCCAGAGGAGAAGATTCCAGTAATCTCAAGTGATGAACTTGCTTGGGTCCTGCCACCTGATTGACTCAGCTGGGGGAGCCTGGTTTGGCTTCCCACCTCAGTGAGTCACCAGCAAAAGGCATTTCCAGGGAGGTCAGGCCAGGAACAAGCGATGTGAACGCATCTTTTGGAGATGGGAAGCAAACGCAGTTCCTGCTCCCGTCTGGGCAGGATGCTGTCGCCTTCCTCCGCGGCCTCTCTGCTTGAATATTTCAGGAATGTCTGAAGCGAGTTGTTTTCCGCCCCCTAAGGCCACTTAAAGCCTGAGGCCGGGCCAGGCTGGCCGAGCCGGCTCTGACACTGCCTCTTTGTGCGAGCTGCACCGAGTGGCTGCGGGTGTCGCAGCGTGCTGGGCAGCGCCGTCCCTGCTCAGCACAGCTGCTCCTGCAGGGAATGTTCAGGGCAACGAGCCCTTCGGCTGCTCTGCAGCATCACAGCCCTGCCGTGGTACCTACACTGTTTGAGATTCTCCTCAGAAAGGAGCTTCATGGCTGTCCCAGTGCTGGAGGGATTTGGGAAGTGTCTGTCAGGACTGTGGAAAGACCGCCTTGAGCAGCGCTTCAGGTGATTCTTCATTACGAGCTCGAAGTTGATGCCAAGAACAAACTAAGGGATGTGCTTGAGTATCTGAAAAACTTCAGGAAAATATTCACACAATTCCCCAGGCAATGGGGATGTGCAAAGATATTTTGAAAGGAATGAAAGCAATATGTGCTCTAAACTAGTGGGAAGTGAAATGTGAGAGTTATCCCGGTGGCTGGAGAGCAAAGCTTAGATGTAGGATGTCATCAGCAGCCAGGCATGGATGAAGGGTGGCAGCAAGGTCAGCTGTGATTAACAGTATGCGTTGTGCAAGGGATGAGTTTGGCTGTGGCTAGAAGAAGGTCTCCTCCAGATTAGGCAGATGCTACAAAGGGAGTTTCTGGAAGGGTTGTTATGTCCTGCTGCATCCAGCACGCCTGCTTTGCTCTGATAACACTTTGCTGTGCTTCACAGACTCGGGTATGTGCCTTGCTGTACCAGCCACGTGTGTGCATTTCAGTGGAGAAGTGCTTATCTGGGACATTCCAGTGTGGGGGCTACCAGGAAAAGTTATTGCTGGCACCTCTGTGCCAGTTCCTGACTCCTCTGCTGAACATTTTCTCCTGTGTTTGAAGTTAAACACTTTGAGTACTCAAAGTACTTCAGCTCCATCGAGTGCTGAGTATACCAGAAATCCTCTCCTGAGTGTAAGCAACGATTATCTGCTGATACTGAAATTGAGAGAATGCTGTAACAAGTACATGTCTGTGAAACTCATGAGCATTTCAGCCCAGTTAAGGTGCACTTATACCTAAATTAGAGAGATTTCCAGGGAGAAGGAAAAAAAATGTTTGGTAGGCCTGTAGAAATTTAAGAATGTAAAACTTTCTCAAAGTGTAACCTTTCCTGTCCTGCTTTTGATGACAACAATGATTCACAGTAATGGGAAGACAATGGTCTGGAACACCCAATCTTTCCAAGCAGTTGTGCTATTGCCATGGTATGCATTCCTCCAGCTGAGCCTGATGTGATTCCTGCTCATGTAAGGAGGTTTTCTCTTGCTCACATTTTACATAAAATATGCAGCATCTTCTGATTTGTAACACTTGCTCTTTGTGATTTCCAGATCCGCACTGACACGTCTCTGAGGTTCATGCTGGAAAGGTTTCTGCAGCTAAATACAATCCTCACAGGTATGTGAAAAGTTATGGAAAGTTTCCTTGTCCACTAGAAAAGGAACTGGAGTTTGCTTTTTCTTGATTTTCAGGGGTTAATTACACAACATTCCAGATCAATACACAAGACTGATCACCTGAAACTGGGCACCTGAAATGCTGCCAAGCACTGGGGTGGATTGGTCACTTCTTAAACGACCTTCTGCTTTTTGGGGGGTTGAAACCAGAAATTTCAGGACACAGAAACTTTGGAGCAGAAACTTTGCAGCAGAGCCAAGACAGGACAGGATCTCTTCCATCAGTTCAGCAGCAGGTTCAGTGTGCAGGGCTTTTCCTCGTGTTTTCAAACACTGTGGGAAGAGCCAGGGTTGGGACAGCCGAGGTCAGAAGTTTGACTGTTTAGGGGGTACAATTTGGGAGCATTTTGTACTTCAGCTGCTCTGGATTAGGAATCCTTTGGGCACTGAATCTCTCTGTCCTTTTTAGAAAGGGATTGGAAGGAAATTTAAACATGAGGAGAAAGGTTCAGGTAGGGATTTGACAGTTAGAAATTGTTTGTGCAGCGCATTTTCCCAGGACTGAACATGGTGTCACACTGAAGCTCGAGGCCAAAACAGTTTTGCTCTCTTGGGTATTTAACAATCGGGATACTTCAGGCAGCTGAAAGCCAGGACAGCTACAATAGATGGTCAGAAGAGCAAACATTTCCAAGGTAATGGCTTCTAACAGTAAAACTGTGCTGCTGCTGAGAGAGTGAATTCCAGCTCCCTCCTGTGAAAGAAGCTCCCAGGACAAAAGCACCATTTTCTCTGCTTGTACCTCTACCTGCACAAGGTGCTTTTGCTGGCACAGTTCTGCCTTCAGAGGATCTTATCACAGCCCTGACTGACACAACTGTGCCAGGAGAGTTGGTGGTGGAGCCCTGACCTAAAAACACCCTGGCTCAGCTGCAGGGTTAACACCCAGCTGGGAATAAAAAGAGGGACTCACTGAGTCCACTTTCTCAGCTGTTCTGAAAGCCATGCACAGCCTGGGTGGGAAACCATTGTTCTTTGGGAAGGAGATCCCTCAGCTCTTTCAGCTGTTGTATTTTGGGGAACAGGTTTGGTCTAAAGGAAAACCTTTGGGGACCAACGAAGTGCTGCATTTATTTACAAAAAAAATTGTTAAAAATTTGCTGTGGTGTACATAGCTTGTTATTGTGTTTCAGTGCCTTCCTCATGAGCTAGCACTGATAGAATCATAGAATTATAGCATGGGTTAGGTTGGAAGGGACTTCAAGGATTATCCAGTTCCCACCCCCTGCCATGGGCAGGGACACCTTCCACTATCCCAGGTTGTTCCAAGCCTAATCCAGCCTGGCCCTGGACACTTTCAGGGATGGGGCAGCCACAGCTGCTATGAGAAACCTTGCCTCAGCACCCTGAATAGGGAAGATTTTTTTTCTTAAAATCACCTGCTTTGTAACAGGGATCTTGGAGCTTATGTGCTCACCCCAGTGATCCAGCTGAAAATTAACTGCACTAGGACACTACTCCTGGCTGTACCATGCCATGTGTGTGGGAGATGGGATGTACTGCCCAAAGAAAATCCTGTTAGAAAATGCACACTTCAAAATGCCTCTGACAGCTCTTGAAATACTGGGCTTAATGCCATTTATTGATTTGTAACCACGGAGACGGTGCTTGTTCGCAGTGCAAAGTGAGGGAAAAGCTCTTTTCCTTCACCTCCTCATGGAGTGAACAATGCTGGAAAATGCTCTTACTCCTTGTAACCTCCCCAAGCCTTCACAGGAGGGACCAGCAAATTGTTTGCCTCCTTAGAGGCTGCTGAATTTCCACAAAGGTGGAGAAAAGCAACCATTCCTTGCAAACCAGCCTGGAGCAAAAAGGGCTAAGTTACTTTGGGAGATGAGAGATCAGCACACCAGAAAGCCTTATCAGAGATTTGTCTTAACTTGCAAAGGTATTTTCTTTGCCAAAAGAATCCAAACAGTTGTTTGAAATGTTCTGTCTGATAAGATTTGTTTTCAGAGAGATCTCCCTCATGCCATCCTGACAAATGAAGCCCTTCTGCATTAGGCTTTTTAATAAAGATCTTCACTTTCTGAATTGAAAATTCAAAAAACATAATCAACAGAATATTCAATTAAAAAAAAAAAAACAAAGGCTGAAGAACAGTAGATCCATATTTGTTCTGAGTGCTTATTATTGGGCAAGTCCAAGCCCAGCCATTTCAGGAAGTATGGATTTCTGGAGTGGGATCCCTGTGATTCAGCCTGGTGTGACCTGGAGTGTGATCAGCACTCACCCATCAGCTGACAGCAAACTGGTAACATTTGCTGGAGAATTGATGAAAATTTGAGGAAAATGAGCAAAAAGACCAACTGCAGAGCATCAGAAACATAGGCAAGCACCAAAGTTTTGAAACAGAGGTCCTAGAAATAGAAGATACTAAAACCCCAGGTATTTTTAAATTGCCTTTCTTTTCTCATAGTCTAAAACTCAGTCCTGCTGTTTAACCTGAGACACACTGGAGTTGTGTGGCCAAAAAAAAAAGTGATTTGGATTGGCTTGTCCTCTTCGCAAACTGTGCTTAAAAAGCAAATGATACCTTCCCACTTTTGCTGGGAATTCAAAACGTTTGCTTTCAACACGTTACCAATACTTTTCCATTTTGAGTGGAAACTTCCACATTTTTGCATGTTATGGTCAGGAACAGAGCACAAGCAAATTGTCTTTTCCATTAACAAAACGTGACAAGTTTTCTCTCACCCAGCGCTTAGAGAAGGGTTGGGAGGAAGAGCTTTGAGGCAACTCCAAACAAAACTGAGAGTTAGTTGGCTGAACCCCTGGGTCTGTTCTTTGTGTGGCTCCACTCCTGAGAGAGCAGCATCTCAGGCCTTTTTGCCACGGAGCCGGTAAAGCCAAGGCTGGTTTTCGGTGTGGAAGGAGTGCACCGAGTCCCTTACACTGCATAAATGAGAGTAACGCTCCTGCGAACGTAGCAGGGGTGGCTGCACTAAAACCTGCCCCCTGTTTATCCTCAGCACCGAGGCCAAGCACTGGCATGGGCGCACTGCAGGTTTAGCCGGGGTGTCACTCGGTGCCGCCTCCTTCCCCCGCCGAGGAGCGGCTCGGGGGATCTCGGGCCGCTTCAGCGCAGCGCAGACCGCGGACATCGGTCGGGGTCCCGGGCAGAGCACCGGGAGTGGCGGGGTCGCGGCTCCTGGGGTGTTCTAAGCCTGGACGTGTCGCTTGGAACCGGGTGAGGTTCGCGCTGTGCTGTGCAGTCCCGGGCTACGCTCGCTGGTCTCCGAGGGCTCTTCCAGCCGCAGCGGTGCTGGGATGGCCCGTGAGGGGCGCGGGGAACGCGGCCGCTCGCACCGCCCCACGCCGGCTCCCTCATGGCCGGTCCGGGAGCGGCGGCGGGCGGCGCCTCGGCCGGGCGGGGCAGAGCGGCGGCTCGGGGCCGGTCCCGGGGCGGAGCGGGGCGGGCACCGAGCGGAGCGGCGCGGGCGGGACGGCGGCGGGGGCTGCCCGGAGCCGGCGGAGGCGCGGCCGCCCCGGAGGCTCCGCGCGGTTCGGCCGCAGGTAAGGGAAGTTCGCGGGAGCCGCTCCGAGACCGCTCGGAGCCGCCTGCGGCACCTCGGGGTCCCGGCGGGATGAGCCCCGCCGTGCCCTGCCCCGGCGGCTCCTCCTCTGCCGCCGCCATGGCCCGGGGCCCCGGCAGCGGGGCCGGAGCCGGCCCGGCCCGGGGACGGGAGCGCCGCGTGTGCCCGGAGCGGGGCAGCGGGGGGACTGCGCCGCCACATCCCCCAGCCTCTGTCCCCTGCATGTCCCTGTACCCGTGCCCGCCACATCCCCCAGCCTCTGTCCCCTGCATGTCCCTGTCCCCGTGCCCGCCACATCCCCCAGCCTCTGTCCCCTGCATGTCCCTGTCCCCGTGCCCGCCACATCCCCCAGCCTCTGTCCCCTGCATGTCCCTGTGCCCGCCACATCCCCCAGCCTCTGTTCCCCTGCATGTCCCTGTCCCTGTGCCCGCCACATCCCCCAGCCTCTGTCCCCTGCATGTCCCTGTCCCCGCTCCGTGTCCCTGTCCCCGCTCCGTGTCCCTGTCCCCGTGCCGTGTCCCTGTCCCCGCTCCGTGTCCCTGTCCCCTGCATGTCCCTTCCCCGCTCCGTGTCCCAGCCCCTGCTCCCCCTGCATGTCCCTGTCCCCGTGCCACCTCCCAGCGCTTCCAGCACTCCCGACCTTCTGTGCCTTATTTCTGTGCTGGACCTGACGTAACTTTTCGGGAAGTTTTGGGGAGAGGTTGGCGATCTCCGGTTTAATCTTTTCGGGCTCTGGTAGGAAGCTTCAGGCACTGGTGCTGTGAAACTGCAGTTATGAGTTTTATCTAGAGCTAACAAATGTGGTTTGATTTAAGGCCTGGGGTTCTTACATCCTGTAATTATTTTCCCGAGGTCTGTTTCTGTTGGAGCCGTGACTTCCAACAGCTGCAGTCGCTGTTCTTGCTCAGGCCGGGGCTGGGTGCAGCTGGAGCTGTGAAAAGGCGCTTTGCACCTCGGAGGCTGTTTCTGGGGGAAGGGCCGCTTTGGTGTTGGGGCTGTGCTGTAACACGTGTGTGCTCCTCGTGTGAGTGAGCAGCACAGGGAAGAGTTTCAGGCCGGGCTCGGCTGTGCCTGAGCCTTCAGAGGCTCTGCAGCTCTCCTGGTTCTGGCCCGAGCACAGCCACTGCCGCAGCCCCGTGTGTAGCTCTGTGTGACTGCACTGGCAGCTCATTGAGCAATACAAGTGTCGCTGCATTCCAGAAGTAAACAGCAGAAATGGGCCACGGAGTGGGAATATTCTCATGCTTACACCGTGGAGCTTTGGGCAGGGAGATGGCCCAGAGTGTCAGCTCGGGATTTATTGCCTCTATTAAAGGGAGCAGCTCTATCTTGAGGCTTTACATTTGTGGAGGATGTAAGTAGAGGTTTCAGTAAAACTGGTGTCTCAGTGAGGCAGCATGGCAGGTTGGTTTGAGAAGCATTCTGGAAAGTAGGATAGCAGAAATCTGCTTAAACTCTCAGTTCCAAGTGCAGCAAAGATTTTGGCCTCTTAATTTCTTCACATCACTAAGAAATGAGGAGTTAGAGCACTCCCTACTTGAGCTTAGTACCCATCCCAGTGGAGTTTAGGGTTTAGCACAGCTTCGTGAGAAGCTGTATCAGAGATCAGCTGCTGGCAGTGACAGTGACTGTCAGGGGAGTGCTGTGGTGCTCACACATGAGGATTGATGTTCCCATGCCAGGAGGGTGAAGTTGGTGTTTCTCTCCTCCCTGAGGGGAGCCCCACCTGGCTGTGAGGGGGGCCCTGAGGAGCAGGTTCCCTCTTTGGCAGCCCATCTCCTGCCTGGAGCCCTGGGATTTCATCCATGTGCTGCATCTGGTGCAAGAGTTGTGCTGAGGAAGGCTGAAGTTGGTTTGTGCTGTGCCCTTGTGTCTGCAGCGGGTCCAGGCTCTGCTTGTCCCTGACACGCAGGGAGGAGCACCTTGAAAGCAGGGCTGTCCCATGGGGCAGGGATCCGTGGTGAAAATCATCTTTTTTCCTCTTAGCTGCGAGTCCTGTTTCCTTTGTGGGTTGTGCTGCCAGGGCAGTGTGACACACGCTGCAGGAAGGAGCTGGTGCCGCTGGAAATGGCAGTGGAGCTGCACGGGGAGGCTTTGCCTGTGAGCCCCGGCCGCAGGAGGTCATTGTTGGCATTCCTGCCGTGACAGCCATTCCCGGGGGACTGAGGCTCCCAGGTGGTGCTGCCGGCCTGGCAGGTCCCGTTGGTCCCTGGTGAGGAGCAGGACAAAGTCTGGTCACTGCTCAGGGGCCAGCTCAGGGTGGCCTGAGGACAGGCAGAGCTGTGTGTGATGGGCTGCTCGGTGCAGCGTCCTTTAGGAGGTTTAGTCTCTTTAATCCATCCAGGTGGGGCTCCTGCGATGTTTCTTTCCCCACCTGGAGGAACGCTTTCAGTGAAGTGGAAATCCTTCCCCTGCAGAGCTTTGAAACCAGCAAAGGTTTAGTCACTTTCTTGTGCTGCGATTGCATCAAACCGGCCTTTGGCTTGCTGAGCACAAGGGAGTTGTGTGAACTCCTTTGAGGAACTGACTGATTTCCTTTGTTGTGCTTTGTGTGTGTTTTTCT